GGACTCCTTATACTTCTCTGGTGATCAGCCGTCTACAGCTCATCAGAGCGAGCTGAGGGTCAACTTATTTCGCGGCTATACAGTTTAATATGTGGACACACGGCAGTTCCCAATTGAAGAAGAACCGACAACTGCACGCGTCCATCCATCTACTACTACTTTCGATCCTTATGCTAGCATCAAGATTTTCGAGGGAAGTATTTGACGCATACGTTGTTAGCCTATGGCATAGGGCTACAACGTGTCTGGGGCCATCGTTATACTACCTGCGACGGTAGTACTTCTCGGCTTTCAACTTTTCACTGTCAAGTTCTTTTGACTGAAGAAAGGTTTCCAGACAGTTTGCACAGTTCGTTAGACTCATGTAGTGCCTGCACCATGGCTTGAGTACTCGACTAAGACTCTCGGTCTTATTCGTCGTGTTGTCCACATAGGTAATAATGCATGCTCGAGTACTGTGAACCCACAGGCACTCAAAAGCCAACCCGTTTCCCTGGACATACGACAGTAGTCCCGAAGAATTATTTTCGATGTCCTGCACAGCAGTTTCATGACTAAGTCAGCTGTCGCTGCGCGATGGAGCCCAATGACCTTGCGCCTGAAGGCTTGGAATACATTAAAAAGCACATTATAAGAAAAAAAATCCAAATTTCAGGAAAAGTATTTTTCCAACTCCTCAATAGTCTCTGATCCCTGTAGAGAAAAACCGTCCGTATTTCCTTAGTAGCAGAGCTCATCAATCCGCGAAGTAGACGCGATTGCTGGAACAAAAGCTTTCTTAGCCTGACGTTTCGAATTCTCACTCGAATCCATCACCAGGTACAGAGTCAGGTAAGGGTAGAGGATTGCTCAGGTGTTGCCGTATTTATAGGATATAGTGGCTAGGTCGCTACATGTTTATCGCAGTTGGTAGCTTCCTGGAGCTCGCCTCTTCGCTTAATTTAGCTTATCAAGTCCTTACAGTTCTGAACGACCCATTGAATGTTTTCAGTCCTTTCTCCAAATATGACTGCACAAAACACGGACTGCGCACGGCCATGCTTGCCAGTTATTACAAGACGATACCATGCAATCCCATGGCCGCTATATTGGTAGATGCCGGTTAGTTGCACTACCTCTGTATATTAGGCAAGCACGGCTTTTACGGTTGGCGTTGTGAAACATGCGGTCTACAGACCTTTTTCGCACTATAGAAAATCAGGGAACAGCCGCCCTTCATTTGGTGAAAAGATTCGGTCATCCGCATCGCCGAAGGGTCAGAGTGCGAAATGCGCCTGCGCATATCAGGGAGGTCTTTCTTCTTGTAATTTATCCCAAAGCAATCTACGAAACCGTCGGTCGGTCGCACACATCCTTCGGGTTTTCCAGGAGGCTTGCCATAATTGTCAGGACTAAGAGCTTATGGAGTAGAAATTTGACCGTTGGGACTTTGTGAATTTGGAGATCCTTATAAGGTGTTCGTTATTTCTGGTGTTTCTGGGGGCGTTTTGGTTTGTTAGTAAATTCATTTTGAGAATATCTTGGTCATGGGTGACCTTGAATAGGAAATTTAGACAATTTTGGAGTCTTCGAATCCAGAGGGGTCGAAGACCGTATTTATGATATAGTTCTACGTATGAACCCTGGATGCCATCACTTGTAGACAAAGATTTAGTAAAACGTCTCTGAATGCCTTCTAGTTTCCTTCTGCCGTGTGAGAGCATTATACAGAAGAAAATGGAGCAATAATCTAAGGGAGGGAAACAAACATTTTGTAAAGTTGAATTCTCAGTGCATTTACGGTGAAAGGTTTACATATGAGATCAGAGTTAGGGTTAAGGTTGGGAGGCTAGGGTTAGAAGTTAGGGGTCAGGCTACTGCAGCTACGTTTACGAAATGAGATTCGGTCAAGAATAATAACAATTCATTTCAGTACTCAGGATATACTAACGGAGATTAAGAACGACATCAATTGTAAACGACAAAAGGACTGAAGATCCTGAGCAAAGTGCCGGTTACAATACTGAGGATCAGTAACAAGCGGGCTGGTTCGCAAAACAGGTAGGAATGCAACCCAACATGAAGTGGTTGTTGACTTGTATTACTTCCCACTTCCGGGCAGGCGCTGATTGTCATTAAAAGGAGCATGTAAAAATCAATAACAGCGCGCGCGAGTCTCCGTCCTGAGAGAATTGATTTAGCCCGTCAGTTGGCAGACTACCAAGCCAACAATTTTAGCACACCGTGATAGATTCAATCGGGTCAGATTTACTACAGTTCACCTAGGGAAGCAACACGGTCAAATCCTAAAAATTCGCGTTTTATGAGTCTGCGGCTTCACGAATTCGCGTGTTTCTCCTTGGACCCTTCACACTTAAAATTCGCGAAACGTTGATTGTCTCATAGGAAAAGCGCGCAGGAGAGTTCAACGTATGAGAAGGCCTCGGATGGCGGACAGTAGACGTATGCACATGTGCGGTATCAGACTGTATGTACTGTGTAGTACTATAATACTATATAATACAGTAGTGTAAATGGTTAATTTTGACATTGCAGTCTTAAATGACAATGCAAACCATAACATCAATTTCTAAATGAACTTGAAGTGGTGGAAGGGCATATTTATCGTTTAGCATATGAAGATAGGCAATTATAGGTCCTTGCTAGTTAACAATCCAAAATTGGCAGGGGGCTTAGGAACGTAACACCCGCTAATTTCGGGGAATTGCTGTAGTCTCAGAGATGAGGTAGTTTAACGGTAGCGTCTATCTAAGAGGGTGGACCTAAGCTCGAGATGGGGAGTCTTTGTCGCGCCAGGCCGATAGATTCCTAGCAATGTTACAGAGCAGTCGATAGGTGTTGGGAGTGCCTACACTCCCAAAAACAAGAGCAAAGCAATCACTGGCGATCACGTGCGTTTGCTCTCTCTCTACAGCGCTGTCATCTCAATCAGGCGCCTTCCCATTGGCTACTCCCCTCGTCCCGAACGTCATTGGCCGAATGCCGGCGAACCACAATAGCGTGTTATAAATATGGGTCACCTTTAGCTAGTCGTGACTTGCAGTGTTTTGCTAATACACTTTCCGTGGCCAGCCGCGTGTTCATTGTCTGCTGCCTTGGTATTGGGGACCAGGGTCGAGTGCGTATACGCTCCACGGGATTTCACGTACCAGGCGGGTCATAACAAATTGGCAACGCAGTTTTTCAACTACAATGGCTGACGAGTACGCCGACTTGAAGCAGATGTTGCAGCAGCAGCTGAAACTAATGGAGGCAATCACCGTTAAGCTGTCCAACTCGTCCATGGGTCAATCAAGCGCGGCAGGTGGTTCGCAATCTGTTGATCACATTGCCGGCAGCATCACTGAATTCTTATATGACCCGCAGGCCCATATCACCTTTGATTCCTCGTACAAACGATACGAAGACTTGTTCTCTGTCGATCTGGCTGCCCAGGACGATGCATGGAATGTTCGACTCCTACTTCGCAAACTGGGTCCGACTGAACACGAGCGTTATGCAAACTTCATCCTCCCCAAGAATCTCCGAGAAATCACTTTCAAGGAAACGGTTCAGACGTTGTCGCAGATTTTTGGTGAGAAAACATCCCTCTTCAACACTCGATTTCAGTACTTGCAACTGTGCAAATGAGATTCTGCTGATTTCATCAAGTATGAGGGCATTGTTAATCGCGAGTTTGGGCGTTTCCAACTCGGTTCCCTCACTGAAGACCAGTTTAAATGCCTTATATTTATCTGCGACCTGCAGTCCTTGAACTTGAAGTGGTTTAGGGGCATATTTATCGTTTAGAATATGAAGATAGACAATTATAGATCCTTGCTAGTTAACAATCCAAAATTGGCAGGGGGCTTAGGAACGTAACACCCGCTAATTTCGGGGAATTGCTGTAGTCTCAGAGATGAGGTAGTTCAACGGTAGCGTCGATCTAAGAGGGTGAACCTAAGCTCGAGATGGGGAGTCTTTGTCGCGCCAGGCCGATACATTCTTAGCAATGTTACAGAGCGGTCGATAGGGAAGCAGGTGCTGACGTTCCCCGAAGAGAGAGAAGTGTACTGCAGATGTATAAAATGGCATTC